CGGCCCCCTTGAACCTTTCAACATTTCGCCACATTTCAGGCTTCAAACATAAAGATATAAAAATTTAATTTTTTGTCATGAATCAACAACAAGTGGGACACAATCGTGAAGTGGAACAAAATTTGTTGGATAATTTCAACTTTTTTAACAAATAAAAAACTGAAAAGTGGGGCGCGCAATATTATTCGGCCCCTGTACTTTCAGTGCAGCAAACTCACTCCAGAAGTTCAGTGAGGATCTTTGAATGATCCAATGTTGTCCTAAATGACTGATGATGATAAATAGAATGCACCTGTGTGTAATCAAGTCTCCGTATAAATGCACCTGCTCTTTGATAGTCTCAGGGTTCTGTTTAAAGCGCAGAGAGAACCATGAAGACAAAGGAACACACCAGGCAGGTCCAAGATACTGTTGTGGAGAAGTTTAAAGCCGGATTTGGATACAAAAAGATTTCCCAAGCTTTAAACATCTCAAGGAGCACTGTGCAAGCAATTATATTGAAATGGAAGGAGTATCAGACCACTGCAAATCTACCAAGACCCGGCCGTCCCTCCAAACTTTCATCTCAAACAAGGAGAAGACTGATCAGAGATGCAGCCAAGAGGCCCATGATCACTCTGGATGAACTGCAGATAACTACAGCTGAGGTGGGAGAGTCTGTCCATAGGACAACAATCAGTCGTGCACTGCACAAATCTGGCCTTTATGGAAGAGTGGCAAGCAGAGAGCCATTTCTCAAAGATATCCATAAAAAGTCTCGTTTAAAGTTTGCCACAAGTCACCTGGGAGACACACCAAACATGTGGAAGAAGGTGCTCTGGTCAGATGAAACCAAAATCGAACTTTTTGGCCACAATGCAAAACGATATGTTTGGCGTAAAAGCAACACAGCTCATCACCCTGAACACACCATCCCCACTGTCAAACATGGTGGTGGCAGCATCATGGTTTGGGCCTGCTTTTCTTCAGCAGGGACAGGGAAGATGGCTAAAATTGATGGGAAGATGGATGGAGCCAAATACAGGACCATTCTGGAAGAAAACCTGTTGGAGTCTGCAAAAGACCTGAGACTGGGACGGAGATTTATCTTCCAACAGGACAATGATCCAAAACATAAAGCCAAATCTACAATGGAATGGTTCACAAATAGACGTATCCAGGTGTTAGATTGGCAAAGTCAAAGTCCAGACCTGAATCCAATCAAGAATCTGTGGATAGAGCTGAAGACTGCTGTTCACAAACGCTCTCCATCCAACCTCACTGAGCTCGAGCTGTTTTGCAAGGAAGAATGGGCAAGAATTCCAGTCTCTCGATGTGCAAAACTGATAGAGACATACCCCAAGTGACTTGCAGCTGTAATTGCCGCAAAAGGTGGCGCTACAAAGTATTAGCGCAAGGGGGCCGAATAATATTGCACGCCCCACTTTTCAGTTTTTTATTTGTTAAAAAAGTTAAAATTATCCAATAAATTTTGTTCCACTTCACGATTGTGTCCCACTTGTTGTTGATTCTTGACAAAAAAAAATTGTTTTATATCTTTATGTTTGAAGCTTGAAATGTTGAAAGGTTCAAGGGGGCCGAATACTTTGCAAGGCACTGTATGTGCGTGCCGAGTGCTTACGCGAGTTCTCATTAAACCACCATGGATATCAAAGTCATATCGTACAACTGTCGTGGCCTGCGTCTGGGCCAGAGCGTGGATGATAAAGCTCGCTGTTTCGTTGTCGATCAGTTGTTGGATGATCATTGAGACATTTTGTGCTTACAAGAAACGTTCCTTGCCGAGCAGGATCCGAAAGGGATTAACGCCATCAATGAGAGATTCCTTGGTACAGGGGAGTCTACTACTGACCTTAGCCTAGGGGTCAAAAGAGGAAGAATAGCAGGGGGCGTGGCTATCCTGTGGAAAAAGAGTCTAGACTCAGTTGTAAATGTCATTAAGCTCAATGCGGACTGGTGCATCGCAATTCGATTGTCACAGCACAACAAGGATATTGTGATATTAAATGTATATGCTCCTTATGAATGTAACCAGAATGAAGAGGAGTACCTAAGTAAGCTTGGTTTTATTAGCGCCTTTGTGCAAAATGAAAAGTCCTTCAGTGTTTATGTCATTGGTGATTTAAATACAAATATCTTGGATAAGAACTCTGTTTTTGTGAGCCACCTAAACATGTTCTGTGCAGATAATCACCTTACACTGTCTAGTAGGGAGCTTCTGCCTAAACAAAGTTACACCTATATAAGTAAAGCCTGGGACAATGTCTCGTGGCTGGATCACTGCATCACTACAGAGGATGCTCATGCTGCTCTGTCGGCCATGAGCATCTTATATGAAATGTCCAGTGCAGATCATATCCCTGTATCAATGCTCATCAGATTTGGCATAATAACCACCATGCAGGATGTTAAACATATTGAAAATAAACACCTGGTCTGGTCTCTCTCTTCAGAAGAGCTTGCCTGTTATTGTGCTCACACTGACATTTTGCTGAATAATATTGTGCTGCCAAAAGGAGCAGTTATGTGCTCTGATTGCAATTGTACAGATGCTGGACACAGGACAGCTATTTCTGTTCTGTACTCTGATATTTCTACTGCATTAATTGAATCAAGTGCGCCATTTTATAAATACAGAAAGAAAGACCAAATAACATGTGCCTCTCTACCTTTGTTGTACATGGTTTTATCCCAGACTCAATGATGTCTGTGTTGTCGGTTCCTGTGATAAAAGACCAAACGGGGAAAGTGGGCAACTCTGATAATTACAGACCTATCACCCTGGCAAATACACTGTCAAAAACATTTGAGCAAATCTTTCTGAGTAGGCTCAGTGTTCACATTAGCTCCACAGACAATCAATTTGGCTTCAAAGCCCATCATGGGAATGACATGTGTATTTATGCTTTAAAAGAATTGTTAAGTAAATATAAAAGTAGACAATCCACTGTTTTTATGTGTTTTTTAGATGCCTCCAAGGCTTTTGATCGTGTTAACCATACCAAATTGTTTCACAAACTGTGTCAAGCCAATGTTCCGAAATATGCAGTCCGATGCCTGTCTTACTGGTATCCCAATCAGACTCTGCAGGTCAAATGGGACAACTGTGTATCTGCACCCTTTCAGGTCAGCAATGGTGTGAAACAAGGGAGTTTGATGTCTCCAATTTTATTTAATTTTTATATGAATGACCTTTCCAAAGAATTGAACTGGTGTTGAACTGGGTGTAGTATCGTCAACCACATCGTCTCCAGCAGCTGCTTAATGTGTGTTCGGCGTACAGTGAACAAAACAATATCAAATATAACGAAAGGAAAAGTGTCATTATGACCTGTCGAACCAAAGAGGACCGAGCCCTGGTGTTTCCTGACTTTAAGCTCTCTGGAAACATCCTAAAAACGAAAAACTCAGTGAAATATCTTGGTCATATCCTGACAGATCGTCTGTCAGACGATGAGGATATGTATCGACAGTGCCGTATGCTGTACGCCCCGGCTAATGTTTTGTTGCGGAAATTTGGACACTGTTCTAATGCAGTAAAAGTGGCTTTGTTTCGGGCATATTGCACCCTGCTTTACACCGCTCATCTGTGGGTGAACTATAAAAATTCCAGCCTACAGAGACTGAAAGTGGCCTACAACGATGCCTTCAGACTGTTGCTAAAAAGGCCCAGATGGAGCAGCGCTTCTGAACTTTTTGTGTCCTTTCAAGTGAACACACTCCATGCCAACTTGAGGAACCTAATGTACAAGTTTATGTGTCGCCTGGACAATAGTGCAAATATGATGATTTTAGTGTTGACGAGTAGAGCTTACAGTGATGTTCAGAATCAGAATCAGAATCATTTTTATTGCCACGTAAGTAACAGGAGGTCACAGACTAGGAAATTGCTTTGGCTCAGTGCAACAGTCAAAAAGAGATAATAAAAATAAGAATAAAAAAACACTTCTAAAGAATAAATGTAAATTTAAAATAGAGTTACAGTTACTATTTACAATATACAAGTGCACATGGTGCACACAATGTAAGGTGACAGCAGTACAGTGAAGTAAAGTGACGTATGATGGGCAGTAAAGTGACTTTATAAAGGGCGGGGGGACAGGTTAAGAAGTGTTCAAGAGTCCAACAGCAGAGGGGAAGAAACTGTTCTTGTGGCGGGAGGTTCTAGTCCTGATGGACCGCAGCCTCCTGCCTGAGGGGAGTGGTTGGAATAGTCCATGTGCAGGGTGAGAGGGGTCGGCTGTGATACGACCAGCCCGGCCTCGAGCTCGGGCGACGTACAGGTCCTGCAGCGATGGAAGGCTGCGGCCGATCACTTCCTCTGCAGAGCGCACAATGCGCTGTAGTCTCTGTTTGTCCCTGACTGTGGCTCCAGCGAACCACACGGTGACGGAGGAGGTGAGGATGGACTCGATGATGGCCGTGTAGAACTGCACCAACATCTGTGCAGGCAGCTTGGCTTTCCTGAGCTGCCGCAGGAAGTACATCCTCTGCTGGGCCTTCTTGATGAGGGAGCTGATGGTCGGCTCCCACTTGAGGTCCTGGGTGATGGTGGTGCCCAGGAAACGGAAGGACTCCACAGAGGTGATGGGGGAGTCCATCACGGAGGGTGGGGGTGGGGGGACAGTGCTCTTCCTGAAGTCCACAATCATCTCCACTGTCTTCTGGGCGTTCAGCTCCAGGTTGTTACCACTGCACCAGGACACCAGCCGGTCCACCTCCCTCCTGTAGGCGGACTCATCGTTGTTGAAGATGAGTCCAATGAGGGTGGTGTCGTCCGCGAACTTGATCAGCTTCACGGAGTCGTGGCTGGAGGTGCAGTGGTTGGTGTACAGGGAGAAACACTGCACTGTGGAAACACTGGTATAGTTGCCTCTTCTAAAGAGATTGGGGACTTTTATTTTTTTATGTCTGTCTGCTTTTTAGTGTGTTGTGTCTTGTCTATTTTTTAGTGTTCTGGACTATGAGTCTGTAATAAAGCTATCTATCTAACTATACAGGGCAGGTTTCAGTACTGCAACCCTATTGTGACGTGGCTGACCCAGGACCAACACTACGGAGGAGGGTACGCCAGTCTCCAGGTAACCCACACAACACTTCATTATTTATAACAACTTTATTACGCTACGCTCACAGATTGTGACTACAACATATGTGTTTCCAAGGACACACTGATGGCGCTTGAGGCCGTCACACGGTACTGTCACCGAGTGCCCAGAGCAGAACTGGACCAGAACATCCGGATCCACTTCAGCCGACAGTCCAACCTGGATCGAGAAGTACACCTGACCACCAGAGCCCCAGTCGCCTCCCCCATAGAGGTACAAGCGAGTACAAGATATGTAGGCAGCCAACAATTGTGCTAGCCTGGTTGTACCATACCATAGTACAAATTAGAGCAGAACTGGACCAGAACATCCGGATCCACTTCAGCCGACAGTCCAACCTGGATCGAGAAGTACACCTGACCACCAGAGCCCCAGTCGCCTCCCCCATAGAGGTACAAGCGAGTACAAGATATGTAGGCAGCCAACAATTGTGCTAGCCTGGTTGTACCATACCATAGTACAAATTACATTTCGTACTAAGGTCTGGAGGCGCTCCATTGTGCTCCGTTAATAGGTGGGAGGGGTTAACTCCTTTTGCAGATTGAAACGATTGGATCTGAGTTTACTGTGACGTATGTAATGCGCCCGAGTGAGTCGTTAGCATTTAGCCTTGCTTTAGCCATCTCCTTTGCCACTAACAAAGCCGATGGGGAGTAGCGCCACAATCTTTGCCAGCGATTACATTTGCTAAACATTGTTCTTGCTCTGGCTTCAATTTCTTGAAAGAACCAGACTGGATTTCTTTACTATCGCATTCTTCGCCATTGCCAAACTACAACCTGCTTGTTCGACGCAAACTCTTTGACGTCACCCACATCTAAACAACACTCTGGTTGGTCAAAATTCAAGCGATTGTAATTGCTAAACACAGGGACCAGACCCAGAGGTTACATGCAGGAAAATGATGATTGACCGGAGTGTAAGGATGGCTAAGGCCAGGCTACAATTGTGCAAGTCCTTCAGAAAATTGCATTTTAAGCTAATTTATTTGCAAATTAGGGGGCGACAGTAGCTCAGTTGGTAGAGCATTGGCCTTAAGCCCAGAAGGTCGTGGGTTCAATTCCCACCTCTGCACCTTCTCCACCGACTCCCACTGATGACTGCTGTTGTTGTGTCCTTGGGCAAGACACTTAACCCCACTTTGCCCAAAGCCCCCACTGAAAGATCAAGGCTATGCTCACACTCAGAGAGCAGCCGTCCTCCTGTGGACTCACCACCTGCAGAGGGTCAGTGAGGGGCTGGTGCTATGAGACTTGGGTGGCATCTCTGACTGCCACCCCCCTGACCCAGAAATGGATTAAAGGGTAGAAAATGGATGGATGGATGGATGGATGGATGGATGGATATTTGCAAATTATGGTATTAGTCAACATGAAAAGTCCATCTCAATACTTTTTTACGTACCCTTTGTTAGCAATGACAGTTCAACATTTTCTACACTAGGTTTTCACACCTCCTTTAAACAGCAAGGGCATTGAAGATGCATCTTTGCTCTAGAAGAGATCTGCATGAGGGAATTGTCCAAAAAACCAGCAACCTTTTTTCTAGACTTTAAGAAAATGATTGACCTTTCATTGCTAACAAAGGGTATACAAAGTTTTGAGATGGACTTTTGATGTGGCCTAAACACCTATTTTCCCCATCCATCCATCAATCCATTCATTTTCTTCCGCTTCATCCATTTACGGGTCGCACGTGGGCGCACTCTGCACCATTCCGCCTGTCAATCTCACACTCCATCCTTCCCTCACTCGTGAACAAGACCCCAAGATACTTGAACTCCTTCACTTGAGGAAGGACCTCTCCACCCATCTGGTCGACCACCATAGCCTCAAATTTGGAGGTGCTGATTCTCATCCCAGCCGCTTCACACCAGGCTGCAAATGAACCATCATGGCTCGATAGAACTCTTTCCTCAGCCCCTACTACCGGTATACACCACCTAGTTCAGGCGTTTCCGCCGGGACCAACATCAGAGACCCTGTGACCACAGCTACGAGCTGCTGCCGCATTGACGATAGAGGTGGAGAACATGGTCCACTCGGACTTAAAGTGGTTCTCACCCCCGCTCCTCGGAGCTTACGTTACTCACATTTCCCGTTCAAATCTTCCTCTAAATGGGCGTAGCCTGGAGGACTAAAGGGGGCGTGAACGAGACTGGGCCGTTTACATTGCTCTGGGCGGGGGGCTGCTGACGTCAGGTCCAACTTGCAGACGTCAGGTCCAACTTCTGTGCCAGTGTTGGCGCCAGATTCAAAATTCAAATGTAGTAATACAGGTTGCCAGCAGATGGCGCCTCACAGACGGTTTTAGGCAGAAAGTCTAACTTTCAACTAATTTGCACCAAAGTGACAAGATTATGACCAGGATATGTAGACAACACTATTGGACACTCATTTATACCGTTTATCAGCAAAAAAAAGTGGATTTGAGGGTGAGTTGTCCTTTAACTCACTGACTGCCAGGCATTTTCAGATTTGAGAAGTGCGTTCTGCCAGCAATTTCAGGTGATTTGACCCAACTTTGAAGTGCCACAGAATATTCATTTTTTAGATAATGTAAACACCAAGGGCACCAAATTAAAGATTAACCTCTCTGCTTTACTCTGAAAAAAACAGTTTGTTTCTACCTCTTACCGTTCTTGAGTTATTCGCCATAGAACAAAGCATACTTTCGCCCATAACACCTGGTCTGAGCAAGAAAACAGAGAAAACAAGCTGTATGTAAACAGGAACATATCAAGCAGAAAAGAGACTTTTAGATGCATTTTTGCTGCTTTAGTGACAACTCAAAACATCTTCACACTTGTTCCATTACAAAAATTATAAAAACATGACTCTGAAATAATACTTTTGATGGCAAATTGTTGGCAATTTATTCACAGATAGAAAATGTAACTTTCTTCTATACCATCAACCAAAACGTCAAACAACAACAACACAAAGATCAATAAAACTATAGATGTATAAAATAGAATGAAGCATGTGAATGTGTGAATGTCAGTGTGCGAGTGAGTGTCTGTGTGAGTGAGTGTCTGTGTGTGTGAATGTCAGTGTGCGAGTGAGTGTCTGTGTGCGTGAGTGAGTGAGTGAGTGCGTGTGAATGTTCGTGAGTGTGTGTATGAGTGAGTTTATCTGCTTTTTCAGTCCTCCCAGTAGTTCAGCTTTGAGTTGTAGAGGTTGAAACACTGTGTGCAACGGAACACGACACGATGTGACATTTGTAGTTCTCCCTCCGTGAAGAAGAGCTCCAGAAAGTCTGGATCAGATGAATCCAGCTCCAGAAAGTCTGGATCAGATGAATCCAGCTCCAGAAAGTCTGGATCAGATGAATCCAGCTCCAGAAAGTCAGCTGGATCAGATGAATCCAGCTTCGCAGCCTCTGTCCGCAGTCTCTGAGGTCCAGGAGCTCCTGTGAAGGGACTGACTCGGCTCCCACTCATCCTCCTGTCAGCCATCTTCCCCAGAGCTTCTGGGTGACGAACGTGCTGGAAATTGGATACACACAATAAATATATTATACAGTGAATTTGTTACAATAAATCAATACATAAAATCAATCAATCAATCAATCAAATTTTATTTATAAAGCGCTTTTCATACAAAAAGTGTAACACAAAGTGCTTTACAGTTTAGTTAAAAACAATCCAACATGCCCAGCCCTAAACCCACCTCCCCACAGACCCCCCAAAACCACATTTATAATTATATATACAATACACACACCCCACACACACACACACACACACACACACACACACACACACACACACACACACACACACACACATATACACAAGTATAAAGTCATATCAGGTAAAATAGGTAAAACAATAAAAAGAAATGGGGCTGGGAGCAGATGTAACCGGCTGAAGAAGCGTCATCCAAGGAGCCATCTGCACCAGGAGCAGAGAGCCGGCTGCAGCCACAGGCAACGACACAGGACCCAGAGGAGAGAGGGGCCCCAGACCCCACCAGGCCCAGGACTCAGACCCCATAGGACCCAGAGGAGAGAGGAGGCCCCAGACCCCCACCGGATCCAAGAGCCAGTCCCCCGAAGCCACAGCAGACCCCAGCTCTCAGTGCAGAGGGCTCCTCCAGAGGAAACACTGGGGACACTAAAACAATACAATAATACAATAGAAAGTAGAACAATAAAATGTGAAAATAAAAAGAAAAATGGCAGCTGCCTAATATTGATAATAACAATAGTAAATGGGTAGATACAATAAATAATTAAAAATAGTAAATAATACAAATAAATAAAAATATAATCCGTCTAAAAACATAAATAGATGTACTAAAAAGCAATAATAGATAATAAATACTAATCAAAAGCTGCTCTAAAAAGGTGCGTCTTGAGCCTACTCTTAAAAATATGAACGTTCTCTGCGGCCCTGAGCTCCTCCGGCAGACTGTTCCAGAGACGGGGGCCGTAGTGCTGGAAAGATGCCTCGCCGTGAGTGTATGTCCTGACTTTGGGGATGGTTAGGAGTCTGCTGCCGGAGGAGCGCAGGGGCCGGGAAGGCTCATAGGATAAAAGCAAATCTGAAAGATAAGAAGGCCCAAGACCATTAAGACATTTAAAAACCATTAAAATAACCTTAAAATCGATCCTGAAACACACGGGGAGCCAATGCAGCGATTTTAAAACCGGTGTAATGTGGTCCCGCCCCCTGGTCTTAGTCAGAAGACCAGGGGCCGGGAAGGCTCATAGGCCGGGAAGGCTCATAGGATAAAAGCAAATCTGAAAGATAAGAAGGCCCAAGACCATTAAGACATTTAAAAACCATTAAAATAACCTTAAAATCGATCCTGAAACACACGGGGAGCCAATGCAGCGATTTTAAAACCGGTGTAATGTGGTCCCGCCCCCTGGTCTTAGTCAGGACACGTGCGGCCGAGTTTTGAAGTAATTGTAAACCTGAAATGTTCTTTTTGGGAAGACCAGAGAGCAGGGCATTACAGTAGTCAATGCGACTGGTGATAAAAGCATGCATCAGCGTCTCCGTGTTGGCCCGAGAGAGAATGGGGCGGACTCTGGCGATGTTCTTTAAATGATAAAAACCTATTTTTGTGATGTTCTTGATGTGAGGAATAAAAGTCAGCTCAGAGTCAAAGATTACGCCCAGGTTTTTCACTTGTGATGATGGATTAAAAGAGTGTGATTGGAGTTTCGGTAAAAGTTTCTCTCTCTGGGCCTCAGGGCCGATGACTAAAACCTCAGTTTTGTCCTGGTTGAGCTGGAGAAAGTTTTCTGCCATCCAGGATTTCAGGTCTAAAATGCAGTTAAAAAGAGCATCCATTGGCCTGGTGTCGTCAGGAGACACGGAGATGTACAGCTGTGTATCATCTGCATAACTGTGGAAGTCAATTCCATGTCTCCTGATGACACCGCCAAGAGGGAGCATGTACAGGTTAAAAAGGACTGGACCTAAAATGGAACCCTGGGGCACACCACATGTGATTTTATGGACCTGAGAGGAGCAGGTATCCAAACTTACCATGAAGGATCTGTCTGTTAAATAAGAAGTGAACCATTTGTGAACAGCACCAGAGAGGCCGAGGTGTTGTAGGCGTGATAAAAGAATGGTGTGGTCTACTGTGTCGAAGGCAGCGCTAAGATCCAGTAGAACCAACACGGTCACCTTTTTAGAATCATAATTTAGTCTAAAATCATTTAAAATCTTTAAAAGAGCAGTCTCTGTGCTGTGGTTCACCCTAAATCCTGATTGAAATTTCTCTAAAATTTGCTGCTGATCTAAAAAGGCATTGAGCTGGGTAAAAACAAGTTTTTCTAAAATTTTGCTTAAAAATGGTAAGTTGGATACCGGTCTGTAGTTGTTAAAATCGTTAAAATCCAAATTGCTCTTCTTCAGAAGGGGCCTCACCACAGCCGCTTTGAAGGCTGCAGGAAAGACCCCAGTCTGAAGAGAGCAATTCATCAGGTTTAAAAGCTCCTCTCTAAAAGATTCATAAAATGACTTAAAAAATGGAGTGGGGACTGGATCTAAAAGACATGTGGTGGGCCTCACTGAGGAGAAAACTTTATCAAGCATCTCAGCATCAACCAGGACAAAACTGTCCAGTGTTTCCTCTGGTGAAGACAAACAATCAGATGTGTTAAAAACAGTAGTGCGGTTGGATAAAATGTTACATCTGATTGTATTTATCTTCCCCATGAAGTGGACTGCAAAATCCTCACAGAGGGAGTCTGTGGGGGTTAAAAGAGACATGCTAAAATCAGGGTTTAAAATGGTGTCGATGGTTGAAAAGAGGATTTTTGGATTATTTTTGTTCTGGCTGATTAGTTTTGCAAAGTAATTGTTCCTGTTTTTCCTGATTGTGTTGTTGTAAATTTGCTGTCGGTTTTTATATATTTCGTGATTGATTGTCGTTTTATTTTTTCTCCATCTTCGCTCTGCCACCCTGCACTGTCTTTTCATACTCCTTGCTTCCTCATTTTTCCAAGGGGCTATAGATTTTTGTTGAATGGTTACAATTTTTAATGGAGCAACCTGATCCAGTGTAGTTCTTAGTCTACTGTTAAAATCATCTGCTATAAAATCACAGGGGGCAGGTAAAACCAACTGAGGAGTGTTATTTAGAATGTCCATAAAATTTGCAGCCACTTCAGGGGTTAGACGTCGTTTCTTCACAGTTCTCACAGAGGTCTCCTGTTTAACAAAACCAGTGATTTTAAAAAACACACAATAGTGGTCAGAGATAGCCAGGTCAACAACAGAGGACAAAATACAATGAAGGCCTTCCTCCCACATTATTGACTGACTAATTTTGGACCAAACACAGTATACTATATTATTATTATTATATTATATTGCCATGGGATGTACAAGAATAGAAATAGTAGTTCTTTTACCTTTTTTGTGCACAGCAACTGCCTCTTGATGCACCACCTGTAAATAATATACATTTGTAAATCACTATACCAGGAGAATATATACAATAATATGTACAATAGTATGAGGAGGCATTATCTTTACCTCCATGCCCTGTCAACCTCAATGGGGGAGGGCTCTTTTATCAGAATCTGTGAATGGAGAACACATTTCATTTAGTCAGAGCTATGACACTACAACAAGATGTTCAAGCATGAAATAACTAAACATAAAAATAATAAATACAACAATGATAAAACGCATAACTGGCATTTACTAAAGAAATAGTAGGATTTGAGCGTTGTGTTACTTTGCAGATCAGAGCAAGTTTACGCGCCTTTCCCTCCTCTCAAGTTAGCATATTCTAGGCAATTTAGCAAGTTCTTACCTTCGACTCTTTGTGGAGCTTCTGGAGAGGATGCTCTGCTGGATTCAGACTGCAACCACTCATCCGATAAATCATGATCAGGTTTGCTGAACGAATCCGAGGCATCAGTAACAACAGCAGCTGATACGCTGCGAGAGGCGGAAGGTGTGTCCCTGCTCCGGGCTCTGGGCTGCAGAGACGGACCTCCACCGGGGTCTCCACTCTCTCCCCTCTCGACCTCACTCACTGATCCGCGAGTCAATCTCTGAAGCAGTGTACACTGCTTATAACTATTCTTTTTCGCCATCACTCTTGCTATACTATCGCTAAACTAGATCGCTGATCCGTCTCAATGCTACGCTATCATCGCTCTGCTACAGCAGCACGCTCTCCAAACACTCCCACACTCCTCCTCCTCCTCTCCACTGACTTATGACCTCTCCTGTGGTGCAATACTGCATCCTACTGGTGTTGATTTATCATTACAGGTACATTTGCACTATATATCAGTATTGTGGGTCATTCACAAGGTGCGCCAGACATTACTGTAGCCTCCCGTGTAATAACACGAAAAACTTGTCAAACTCGTCATGGGCAGTGAGCGTTACTATTCAACGTGACGAGTTTTGTCGTCATGGGCAGTGAATGAGTTAAGGTCCCCCTCCTTCTCCAGGACCTGGGAGAAACTCTCCCGGAGGTGTGAGTTGAAAGTCCGTCTGACAGGGGGCTCAGCGAGACAGGTCATGTCCCGTCTCGCTGAGCCCCCTGTTAGACGGGGAGAACTCCAACACAGAGATGAGGAGCAAGTATGGCCACCCCCGCTTGCCGCATCTCCCTGCAAGAAACACCAAAAAAGTGGAACCCAACTCCTCTCAAGGAGTTGGGTTCCAAAGCCCAAGTTGAGTGTGGAGGTCGAGGCCAACTATCTCTAGTCAAGCTCCTTCCCCCCCAGTGAGGTGACGTTCCACATCCCAAGAGCCAGACGATGTGTGCGCGGACTGGGTTGCCGAGGTCTCCACCTTCGACTGCTGCGCACTCCTCTCAACAACCCGCCGCAGATCTCTCTGTGGGTGGTGGGTGCACAGGAGGGCCTGCACACGTCATCCCTTCGGACTGAGCCCGGCCGGGCCCCGTGGGCTAAGGCCCGGCCACCAGTTGATCGCTTGCGAGCCCTAACCCCAGGTTGTGCCCTGGCTGCGCCATGCCGGGCGACATCACTGTTGTTCTTGTTGTACTATCCATTGTGGGATTCACATTTAATGGATTCTTCTCCTTTTATCTCCATAGTTGAGGTATGCCTTTGATGCTCCTTATTATTAAAACTCTTCTGTATATACTGCAACACTGACATTACCCCACTGTGGGACAAATAATGGTTCTGTTTTATTTTGAACTAGTTACACAATACTTTTGTATTCATTTGTGTAAAATGTACCTGTCCTGGTAAAATCGTGACTCATTCCTGGTTTTATTCTGGTTTTGTTCCAGATTACTAAGAACAGCGCCGTGACTGTGAGCACAGCCTTTGGTCGTGGCGTCTCTCATGTCAAGGTGAGAGCACACTGCACACTACACAATCACAATCATCTCTTGAATAAAGGGTTTTACAAGCGCTTACCTTGTTATCGCAGTTTAATATCTCTATACTAGCTAGCCCAATGCTGCTAGTGTGAAAATGTAGACCCAGGCTTGTTGATGACGCGCTAAGCGGCTATGCTGTACTTAGTTGCTCTGTTGTGCTCAATAAAATCCTTAGGTTTCAAAGGGTACGATGCAATAATCTTCATTTATTTTACAGTGCTATTAACTCATTGACTGCCAGCCCATTTCAGAACAAGTACTCCCATATTGCCAGCCGTTTCTGATGATTTTTACAGATTTTTCAAGACCCAGATATTCTGAAAGAATGGACTGTCTACTTTCATCAGAAAAAAGAATTTTGTTTCTAGCTTGTTCTATTTCATATGTTGCTTCGCCCTTTAGGCTTTGCTAATGCATATCTCTCGGAAGCATCGCTTTCCGCCCTGAGAAAATCAAACGATCCACCCTCCAATCACCTTCACGTCCTGGCGTAGGCCAGTCCCCTATAAATAGGGCCATGCACCACAGCTCTTCTCCTTTCTCTCTCAGCTTGCCTAAGAGAAGCTTCGCTTCATTTGCTAGGATGTCTTCAAGCAAGATCCCCGCGCCTGAGAACTTGCCACCCTCCGGTGTCAGGCTGCGGATCTGCGACTTGTGCCCAGCGGCACTCTCCCAGACTGACCGCCATGAGTTCAGCGTCTTCTGCCTGGGCTGGCGTCGTGCCGCGGGAGAAAGCCCCAGATGTGTGGCTTGTCTTGCCGTGGATTAGTTATGCCGTATAGAGTGGTGCCCTTGGTGTTATCGCTCATGGTGTGCTACCCTCTATCCACGCTGAACAGACGTATAGCTAATACACCACAGATGGTTGTCCTAGCTTAACACATCACTTTGCTCGCTTCATCCCTGGAGTGGTGCCCATGGTGGCTCGCTCAAGGTGTGCTACGTTCTGCTCACGTGCGCGCGCTGGAGGCATGCTCCGGGACCGCTGTGCGCTCCCCGTGCCTTTGCCTCTCTTGGGCAGAGAGTGCGCGGCTGCACGCTACCCTCCTACCCTCCTAAGCTCACAGCTGTCCTGCCCTCACGCTGCTACCCGGTAAAAGCCAGGGCCGCAGCTAGGGCTCAGACCTTTTTCCAGCGGCCCCCCACTATCCAGAGCAATGAGTGGTACTGCTCTCCCCCCCTCCTCAGTCCACAGTGTTGGGGAGTGGGGGCTCGGCTCCACGTAAGCGCAGCACACCTGCCCTCACGTGGCCACTGGCCACCCAGAAAAAGGGCCCAGGGCCGCAGCTAGGGCCCAGCCCTCTTCCCAGGGGCCCCCCACTGCAAAAAGTGGGACTGCTTGGCCCCCTATCAGTCCACAGTGTTGTGGAGCGGGGACTCGGCTTCACGTAAGCGCAGCACACCTGCCCTCACGCAGCCACCTGGAAAAAGGCCCAGGGCCGCAGCTAGGGCCAAGCCCTCTTCCCAGGGGCCCCCCACTGTAATAAGTGGGACTGCTCGGCCCCCTCTCAGTCCACAGTGTTGGGGAGCTGGGGCCCGGCTCCACGTAAGCGCAGCACACCTGCCCTCACGCAGACACCCGGAAAAGGAGCCTAGGGCCGCAGCTAGGGCCCAGCCCTCTTCCCAGGGGCCTCCCACTGCAATAAGCGGGGCTGCTCGGCCCCCTCTTAGTCCACAGTGTTGGGGAGCAGGGGCTCGGCTCCACGTAAGCGCAGAACACCCGCCGTCACGCGGCCACCCGGGAAAAGACCCAGGGCCGCAGCTAGGGCCCTGCCCTCTTTCAAGGGGCCCCCCACTGCAATAAGCGGGACTGCTGGCCCCCTCTTTGTCCACAGTGTTGGGGAGCAGGGGCTCGGCTCCACGTAAGTGCAGCACACCTGGCCTCACCCGGCCACCCAGAGAAAGGCCCAGGGCCGTAGCTAGGGCTCAGGCCTTTTTCCCACGGGCCCCCCACTATCCGATGCCTCCCCAGGATGGGACATCTGTGGGCGGACCAGGCCTTTCTCCCTCCTCCCATCTCGCTGTGCTTTCCCTTGAGTTCTCCTGGCGGCCCCCTCCTTTCTGCTGCATTCTCCAGACAGGGCTAGGCAGCCCGGAGAACGCCGTGGCGCTTCACAGGGAGGTCAACACGCTTCTGCAGCGCCGGGCGGTAGTGGAGGTAGACCCGCTCAGGACAGGGACAGGGTTTTACTCTCCATACTTCATAGTCCCCAAAAAAAAAAAAAAAAGTGTGGAGGGGTGCGGGCCATGCTGGACCTGCTCGTCCTCAATGGCTGCTAAGCCAAGTGACTGTTTTGCATGCCCACAGTAAACAGCTACTCCTGAGCATCAGGCCCGGGGACTGGAGGTCCTCCGTGGACCTCCAGGACGCGAATTTTCACAAACCCATTGCACAGGGGCACAAGAAGTTCCTCCGGTCCCCCACTCGGCTACTCCCTAGCCCCCCCGCACCTTCTCCAAGTGTGTGGAGGCGGCGCTAGAACCCCTTCGGCGTCAGGGCCTCAGGACACTGACGTATATCAACGAATGGTGATCCTGTCCTCCCGGGAGGATGCGCAGGATCAAACGTCCAGAGTGTTAAACCACGTGCCCACCTAGGGTTTGTGATCGATAGGGACAAAAGCTCCCTGTGCCTGGCCCAGGAGATCTCGTATCTGGGACTGGGCTTGAATTCCAAGAGCATGACGGCTTCACTCTCGCCAGAGAGAGAAGCAGCGGTTCAGAACCTGGGCCGGATTGTTCTGGGTGAACCTCGGGTGCAACCGCGGCAGATCCAGTCACTCTTGGGCATGATGGCAGCGGCCCATCCAGTGGTGAGACTGGGGTTGCTGCACATGCGATATCTCCAGAGGTGGTTCTCACACCTCAGGGGCTTATCACGGAAGGAGCGACTGTCGTTGAGGGCTCAGAACGACGTCGCCTTCTGGCTGTCCCCAGGTCGACTCCAGGAGGGAGTTCAAATGGGTGTTGTGGACCACCACATCGAGGTCTTCACGGACGCCTCACTGAGTGGTTGGGGAGGCGTGCTCGGCCACCACTCGACAGGAGGCGTTTGGTCCTCCCCCTTGGGGCACATCAACCTCCTGGAGTTGGAGGCGATGCGGTTAGTGCTGGCCCATTTCATGACCAGACTGGAGGGCCAACAGGTGATTGTTCGGACGGACAACACCACTGTGGCAGCATATCTGAACAGGCATGGGGGGACCAGGTCCCCCGCCCTTCACAGGCTGGCAGTGGAGGTTCTTCTGTGGGCGGACATTCACCTAGCCTCTCTGAGGGCCCGTCACATCCCAGGCGAGCGTAACGTGGCCGCCGACAGGATGTCCAGGGGCGAGGCCTTGCGGGACGAGTGGGGTCTCGCCCCAGCGGTCGTGGCAGAGGTCTGGCTCCGGTTCGGGACACCGGTGGCCGACTTTTTCCCAAATGCAGAGAACGCACAGTGCCCACTCTGGTTCTCGCTCAGGTCCAGCAACGAGCCCCCTCTCGGGGTGGACGCCATGGCGCACCGGTCGTGGCCCAACGGTCTCCTCTACGCCTTTCCGCCTCGCCGGCTCTTGGCAGCCCTGCTTTACAGGGTGAGGACGGAGGAGTCTCCATCCTGGTGGTGGCGCCGGACAGCCCGGGAGCCAGGTGCTATCCGGACCTGGTGAGCATGGCGCTCAGTCCGCCTTGGCCCGTTCCGGACCGTCCTGATGGGGATCTGTGCGCCTTTTCCGTGCAGCCGTCTTGTTTGTCCCTCCCCGATCGGGAGGGCATGATGGACATGGCACTTCGGTGGAGGAGATCTGCAGAGCGGCGTCTTGGTCCTCCTCCTCGACTTTTGTGCAGTTTTACCTACTGGAGGTGGGCTCTGACTCTGTGGCTCATTCGGTTTTGAGTGCAGGGCGGCCCTAGTTCCTCCTTCGACAGACCTCGGTGAGAACTGGTCTGCAGGGGGGGGTTGTGTGGAGAGGTGTTGGCGCTCTTGGGAGAGGCGGCCTGGACACCTCTGCAGTAAGGATAGGCGCTCTTGGGAGAGGCGGCCTAGGCCCTTCTGCAGTCTGCTTTACACTCCTGGGGATCAGGCGCTCTTGGGAGAGGCTGCCTGCCCAGGTTTGTTCTGATTTCTTTCCTGCTTTGTAGGTTGGAGAATGCGTGGGCACTCTTGGGAGAGGTGGCCCAGCATCCCTTTCTCTATGGCTTGTAGGACCTCCGTCTCTACCGCTTGGTTGCGGTATGAGTACGTGGGTCACGAGTTTGCTCCAATCACCGGAGTTCATGCCTGCTGGGAGTACATCGGTCTGGGCTTCGCTATGTTATGCATTAGCGAAGCCTAAAGGGCGAAGCAACATATGAAATAGAAACCCCATGTTGCGAAGCCCTTTAGCTTCGAGCCCAGCAGGCCTGCCTTCTCTTATTCGGCTGAGTTCGAAAGGAGAAGAGCTGTGGTGCATGGCCCTATTTATAGGGGACTGGCCTACGCCAGGACGTGAAGGTGATTAGAGGGTGGATTGTTTGATCTTCTCAGGGTGGGAAGCGATGCTTCCGAGAGATATGCATTAGCGAAGCCTAAAGGGCTTCGCAACATATTCATAGAACCTTAGTTACATTAAGTAACTGGGGTTTTTGTTCCCCTGTAATCCCCAGTCGAATAGAGGGAAGTTTTACTGAAATCACCAGAAAGCTGAGAAAAAAGAGGCACAACATGTGCACCTAACTGTTTTCAAACCATTGAGAGAGAAATGCTGCCACCTGGTGGCTCGATAAAATATTGCCTCAAGCCAATCCCCATACATATGATACAATAGACATCTGGGAACGTGAAAATAGCAATTGACGTGTTAACACGTAAATGGCAGACATGGCGGTCAATGAGTTCCACAGTGGTATCACACGAGAAACAGTGAAAAGCAAACTCCGCTTGTGCGGTCAAAAACCAATTTGCCCTTCTGGGTCACACCTGCACTCAACCCTGAGCTCATGATTCATAA